CTTGCTGCCTCCCCCATGGCTTGTACAGCTCACGGCAGTCCCGGGTGGGCCACGCTGTTCCTCGGCCCCCAAGGAGCTAGGGACTCTTCCGTTCCCGGGGCCGGGGTGGGGACTTGATCTCAGCTGGAGGGGGAGTTTGTGGAGGGAGGGGAGACCTGGGGGGGTGGTCGTCCCAGTGCAAACTCTGCTCTCCCAGTGCTGTGGAGGGAGGGGGAGATTAGCTGTTACTTCCCTGCACACTTATAATACTAGGGGTGTTGGGGGGTGACCCTAGATATGTTTTCTGGGTGGCTCCTGACCCCTGGGGCTGGACCCTGGACCGGAGCAGTTGCTGAGCGGCAGATTATCTGAGCTCACATCCCCATGCGTCACACAGGCAAAGCAGAAGCATCAGTCCTGTGTGTCGTGTGGGGAAACTGAGGCACAGAGGAAGGGAGTAGCCCAAGATTACAGGACGGTTCAGAGCTGGGGAAAGAACCCAGGTGCCCGGCCTCACGGGCCAGTATCAGCTGCTAGGCCACCCCTGCTTCTTTAAGCACTGCAGCCTGCAACGCCGAAAACAACTCGCGTCTGACCAGGAGCCGGGGGGTGGGCACCAGCTCTGATCCTGCCCCAGGGTGGGGGACTGGCTGGCTCAGAGGGGCCAGGGAATGGGGCGCGGGGCCTTTCCGCTGTAGGGGGGGCGGCTCTCCGCTGCCTGGCTGAGTGTCTGACGATCCCATCTGGGCTCTGGCCGACGGGCCCGTGGTGGGTCTGGGTCCAGCCTCACTGCGCCTCTGGAGCCGGCCGCACAGAGCGGGTGAGGCCCTAGGCTGGGCCAGGGCTGCTTGGCGCCTCCTCCCCCTCTGCTGGTCTCGAGTCACCTGTTAACCTGCCCAGGGGGGTGGGGGGGTCCACAGGCCTGCCCAGCAGAGCCTCAGGCCCCTGGGACCATCGCAGCTGGAGTGGGCCTTGCCCTGAGCTGCGGGGGTCTGTGAGCAGTACGGGGGCTATGACCGCAGCCCGGCAGAGACGCCCGCTGTGCTGTGTTGCAGTGCATGGCTCCCGGCCCGGCAAGAACGTGCAGATGACGGAGCGTGAGATCCGGGACCTCTGCCACATGGCGCGGGAAATCTTCCTGAGCCAGCCCATCCTGCTGGAGCTGGAGGCACCGCTGAAGATCTGCGGTGAGTGAGCGAGGTCGGGGAGTGGGAACCGTCCTCCCAGCGGCTATGGGGGGATTCCCTGCACCCCTTGTTCACTCTGAGGGGGTCGCTGGTTGGGGCTGGGCTGGGTGGGGAGGCCTGTGGGGACGGCGGGTTAGGCCTGGCTGTGGTAGCTGCTCCCTCATCTCCCGCCCGCCCCAGGTGACATCCATGGGCAGTACTGCGACCTGCTGCGGCTCTTCGAGTCCGGGGGCTTCCCGCCTGAGAGCAACTACCTCTTCCTGGGCGACTACGTGGACCGGGGCAAGCAGTCGCTGGAGACCATCTGCCTCCTGCTGGCCTACAAGCTCAAATACCCCGAGAACTTCTTCCTGCTGCGCGGCAACCACGAATGCCCCAGCATCAACCGCCTCTACGGCTTCTACGACGAGTGTGAGAGTGCCCCCCCCACCACCCGGCCCCCCGAGCCCTCCCACCCTGCTCCCCTCACCCCACTCCCCTCACCCTTACCATGAGTGCGCCAGCATCAACCGCCTCTATG